ATTGTGGGACACGTATATTCGCCTTCATTCATGAAAAATGAAAAAAGCAATTGAAAAGGGATTCAGGAGGATGCAAAGTAACTAAGCTTTTGTAAATTGTTACCTTGCGTTTGAAATTCCTTCTCTTTCATTTGCTTCCCTTTCTTCTACTGTAATGAAAAATATAGAAGGTTAACTGTGCAGGAAATTTTTAGCTTAGCAAAATGAGAGATATGAGGTTGTATCCCCTGCTCGGAGGTGACCCAGGATATCCAAATAGTGAATGTTTTCTGCATACAAATCGCTAAAATTAATGTTGGCATTTTACGCAGGTCACCCAAAAGTATCAGCTCCATGAGGCTTCTTCTTACTTGCTTGAAAAGAAAGATGACATTCCTGGTGCCTTCTTAATTATGCTTGAGGTATAACAGAGTGGAAACTTCACTGTGAAATGGGATGGGGGATTTTTTTTTCTTTTTATTTAGAAGAAAAATTAATCTGAATCAAATATTAACATTGGGGTGGTCAATGTTGTATGCACTGAAAATCTAGAATTCATTGGATGTACTATATATATATCTGCCAAATTTGAATTAAGCTGCCAAGTTGATTTTATCTTTAGAAGAAGCTTTATGATTCTTATTCTTACTCATATCTGATCATAATTTTAAAATTGAAAACAGATGTTTGTAAGACTTGTTAGATTTATTATGTGTGTAAATATATGAACTGTCACTTTGTCAGTGTAGTTCTTACTGAGAGCATACATAGTCCTCAATCAGTGCCCGTAACAGAGCCTGCCCATTACAGTTGAAAGTAAAATAAAATGCCTGATGTGATGGCCCCACTTAATGGCTGCTCTCCCCAGTGTGGCCCACTATACAGAGATATAACCAATTCTTACAAAAGTTGAGGAAAATGTGGAAGTCTTAGTGAATGAGAGAGGAATAGAATGGGTACTTACAGATAGTTTATAAAATGCCATGTGAATTCAAATAACACAAAATATATTTTTCCTAGTGGTTACAAAGCAAACTTTCAACACTGACTTCTGGAGATAAAAGTAAGTTTCAAAATAGATTTATTTGGGCATTTTGAACAAAATTCAATGTTATATTAAATATCTGTGTTATTCTGTCAGAATCAAGACCAGGCTTTGTAGACATTTATTAATGTTTATTTATCATTTCCAAGGAGGTATTACATGTACATTCCTTGTTTATGTGATTAATATTCTTCTATATATATTTTAATTGCCTTAGTTTAACTACAAAATAATATCTAATTACTACTTCTGTCTAATCCAAGTTTCAGCGCAACTTCCTTTACTAAAAGATATTGAAGATACCTTAGCAAAAACAATTGCACTTTGCCAGAGGAATTCACACAAATTTAATCAGCAGGAGCGAGAAGTAAGTATTCCCTTATACTCTGGTTTTAAAAAAAGGAAGCATTTGTTTCCCATAAAACCACTTTTTGTAACATTAAGGTAGACTTGTAGCTACCATCATACATTTCATCTATTTTCCTATCACCTTTTTATAAAGTCAGTAATAATATTTCCTGTTGAGATAAGTGCAACCCCAAGTCTTTCTGATCTGTTATTGTCCAGAACATTCTGGATTCACAAGGTAGGAAACAAAGAATCTCAATTAAGGTAATTCCACTCAATTACTATAGAAGAGACAAATGTGTGAGATCTGTCTGTCTTTTAAATAGCAGCCACATAACATGTTTTTCTCCTTTACTAGAAATACTTTCCTTCCACTATCCTATAAAAAGCCCAGAAAAAGCTAATTTGTATTTTAATAAGAAATATTAAAAACTGTTGGGCTCTGCCATACTACACTATATATTCTATAGCAGAATCCTCCCCAGTCCATCTTAATTTCAGCATGCCTTTGCCCTGCTAGACTTGATTCCAAAAGGTATGCTGTTAAATGTTAACAGTGAAGTTGGTTGAGATAGAGAAATTGTGTTGAGATTGTCTGCAATCAAAATTTCCTGGGTGCATTGTGCAGTGCAAGTTGAGAGACTGGGAAATTAGGGTAGCAACAGTCTCTAAAATAGCTCTCCCAATCGGGAACAATGCATTGGAAGGTCCGTTGCATTTATCACTTAGATGAGGGAGAAAGTCTGTTTCCCAAGGGACAGCCAGACGCTTATATCCTTTTCAGTTTATAGTGGTGGTGTTGATGCTGCTTTGCAGCAGGTACAGGCATTGGGCACATCCAGGGACAGAAGCCAGATACTCTGTGTGAGACTGATGGAAGTTATTTTTTGTACAATTCTGAGATTTCTCTTGTTTTTAGGCACTGTGGTTTCCGCTCCTAGAGGCAATGTTGTCACCCCAAAGATCTACATTGCTACCTTGTTACTCTGAATGTAAGCATGTTTGTCTCCTTTTTTGTCCAAGAAGAGATATCCAAGACAAAATGACAAATAACAAGAAAGCTGTGAATTAGTTTTGCTACTGAGCAACTCACTTGTATGTCATATCAGGAATATATTTCTGAATAGCATTTCTTTACTTTTACTTTTCTGTGATAAAATCATGAATTTCAGCCTGGTATTACTTGATATTTGAAGCATGATTTTGGCAACATTTTTCATCAGTCAACTTTCTGGAGCTATCTTCTTTTGCATTTAAATGTAGCTATTGAATTTATTTATCAAATTTCTACATTATTCAACTTACCTAACTGATATTTAAGTTAGTCTACCCTTTCCAAAACGATTTTAATTTTGGGAAATCTTTTTGAAAATGTCTTCAATTTGAAATGCATTTATCTGAGGCAGGTATATGAGGCCACCATAAAACACTAACATGAAATGCAAATTTAATTTGAAACATTTTTAAAAGTAGCCAACATCTCACAGTATCACCATATCTTGCAAAATGTCAGTGTTCTCAAATTAAATTGTGTAAGATTTCAGCTTTCAGCATTATCATGTGAAGTTCCACAAATCTCAGTAGTGAGATCACTTTTACATTTTAAATATTTAACATTATTTTTTGTGTTGTATGAAACTGTGAAATTGTGCTATTTGCTACCAAGAAGGCTGCTTATCCCTGATTTAAGACACTAGAGAGACTCCAATTCAATTATTCACAAAAAGAAAAATTCACTAGCCAATACATCCTTCCTATTAATTGTATTCCCCATTGAGACAAAAATAACAGACTTAAATCATATTCATTACTGTGAGGTTTATTGTCATACTTGTTCTTTAGATTTGAAGAACTTGACAATGCAAGTATTGAACAATATGACAACATTCATTGCTCTGCCATTAATTTTGCAGAGAATCCTACAGGTGAGTTATGACAAATAATATTGTTATCTTAAAAACTCTTAATGTGCATTGTAAAGCTACATGTTATGTTGCATTCTCCTTTGCTTGATTTGAAGCATGATATTGCTTCAAATTCATACTGATATTGGAAATAATATATATCAGAACAGTATTGAATGGTGTGGTGGCTTAGAGGTGGAGCTCACATCCCACAATTAGAGGCTGCGAGTTCGATCCTAAGTAGAGGCAGATCTCTCTCTGGGCATGTTGAGAATATATCTGCTGAATATAACTCTGCACTGGCAACAGGAAGGGCATCCAGCCAGTAAACACTCAGTTCCATTTTGGACTCCACCTTGCCAGGGGTTAAGGGGTCGTTAAAAGATGATGTCAGAACAGTACTGCAAACCTTTTGAACCAAGTGCAATCCAGTAGTGAGAAAAGTAAAGGTTTATACTTGGACAAGAAAAACCAAATGCACGATTATAGAATAAATAGTATGTGGCTCCACAGCAGTAATTGTGAGAGGGATCTAGGAGTCCTAGTGGACAGCCACTTAAATATGAGCCAGCAGTGTGCTGCATCACAGAGATAGTATCAAGATCATATGAGGTGTTAGGACTGCTTTGATAAGACTACACTTGGAATACTGCATTCGGTCACCACAATACAAAAAATATGTTGAGATTCTAGAAAGAATGCCGAGAAGAGCAGCAAAGACGATTGGGGGCTAAAACATATGAAGAACATTTGCAGGAATTGAGTATGTCTAGTGTAATGAAAAAAAAGACAGAGGTTGACATGATAAACAGTCTTCCAATATTTGAAGAGCTGTCACAAGAAAGAGGGATCAACCTATTCTTCAAAGCATCCAAGGACATCACTGGAGGCTTTTAAGAAGGCGAATATATCTCAGGATAATGTTGCAGGATCCATTCTGGGTCAGTCACGTTTAGTCTTCCGAGCTTTCAGACTTGCTGGAGCCCATCCTCAGGGAATTTCTCTAGCAGACTATGTGCTTTTGGCTTTTCTGTGTGTGGTATTTATATGGTGTCTGGTTGTGTGTGTCTTTTTAGTGGTTGATTGGGGTAGTTGATGGCTGGCTGTGTCATTGGCTGCTGACTAGCATGGTATAGGCTCTCCTGCTTAGGAAGGGGGTTGGGCTAGATCCCTTCCAAATCTGGTATTCTGTATACTGTTCTGGATCTGATTTGGTGAGTAATGTGGTGGAAGAGATTAGATAAATTATTTTTTTTACAGTAGAAAAACAAAAACTTAATCAGACATACTTGTACCAGATTGGAATTTTGAGAAGATTAAGTAGGCTTTGTAGGAATTAATTTCAGAATGGGTCCAAATGAGAATTTTAATGTAACTAAAAATTTTAAAGCTTAATTGGGACTGAAACTCAGTATATTTTTAAAATTATATGTTTTGACATGTGAGTTTTCAAAATAACTGATAAGAGCACATGCTTCCTGTTTCTAACATCTCAAATTAGAAAGAACGCAAATCTGATGAAATGAAAGACCTCTGTATGAAGATTTGAAAAGCCAAAGCTCATCAAAATGTGATAACCCTGGAATAAGTAGATACATAAGTCTGCCCTAGCATAAAACAGATTCCTTATCTATAAAATATAAGGTTATCTTGAATAGGTTATCTGTGTTGGGGCATGGAAAGGACCAAAGATACTGCTTAATCTCTTCTTTGGAAACTTAAAGTATCTATTCAAAACTGTGTTAGTTGCTTTATTAACACTTCACCAATGACTACCCGACCTATGAGTTAAAGGAAACCTGAAGTGTATTTTCTTTATTTTTCTTTTCTATGCTGAACTGAAACACAGAATAAACAGAACATATTTCATTAAGCTCTGCTTGCCTTTTAGACGTAGAACAAGAGTTATTATTTGTCATTTTTTATCCAATAACATTTTCATTTCAATACACTGCGGATATTCACTTTTGTCAAAAGTATTTTGCTTTATTGGAAAACTTTGTACTTCTTACTAAATCAGTGTTCCTGCTGGAAATGAAATTTTAAAAAGCATTTTTATTGCCAGATTTGTGATTAAATAAATCTATTTCAACAAAAGCCGACTGGCTTTCCAGTTTATATTAGCCATATAATTGCTTTGTGGGGTGTTTCAGTTTCCTGGCGTGTGATTTATTATACTAAGTTTCAAGACAACTGGGTAGATAATATATTTGTTAAGTAGCTATTCATTTGATACTTTGAAGAAATGAAACTCTGTGAGTCTAATCACAGCATCATAATCACTCTTTACAGTTGTTTTTCTGCAATAAAATGTGTCTTTTTCCAAAAGAGAAGACATATCTGTTATTCTGTCCTTAATTCAGTTGATTTTTGGTTATAGTTTTATTTTAAATTGTCATGTAGCACTTTTTTTCCTATGTGCATATAACAAGACCACTTATATACAAAAATAGCCTTATTAAGGGTGTTCAAGTCATAGAAATACAGTTCAATTAACTTTCCAGTTACATTTATGAAATAGAAATCTTTTCCTACAGTTGATTTTGCTGTTGTTTAATGATAATATTCAGAAAACAGCATATGTCATCTTGCTAAAGCAGCACTTTTGTTATTGCTATTAAGTGCTGATGAAAATATTAATATTGTCACCTATCTAATATATTAAATACATACAAAATATGATATACTGCAACACCACACTATCTAAAATGCGTTGAGCCTGTTCTGTGGACAAGGGAATTATATGTATTAATTGTCTATTTGCATCAAATAAAATCTCAGAAACATAAATGTTTATTTTTGATAAGAGATTTTATAATATGCACTTTTAAAAAGAGAGAAGTTTTCTTATTGCATTGTGGAAACTATGATTACTAGAGTTGTTCAGTGGTGAGACAGCCAGCACTATTTATTTAATAATATTTATTTAATAAATAAATAAAATAATAGGAATAATCTGAATGCTGTTTGAACGTTGTGAATGATCGACATCTGATCTGTGATTTTACATTGCATTGTTGCTTTACTTAATGTATGTAAATATGCTATTCTCTTTCAAACAGTATTATACAGAATAAAAAAAGGAATAACAAATAATAATCCCAGGAAATTATAAACATTAGATAAGAATAAGAAAAAGAAGCACATCTAAAACTGATTTCTGCCACATTTCAATATGTTTCTCCATATTTACTGTACTTGCAAACTATCTTGTTTCCATCACTTCATACATTATCTTTTGTTCCTGTAATACCTCTTCTCTCCCTTGTTCACAGATTTATAAAATCTCACCTTGATCTATTTTGTCTTTGTTCCTTTATTTGTTTTGCAATTCTAGTGTTATTTGTTCTCTTACTATAATTCAGCCCAACTCAGTATGCTTCTCTCATTCAATACAGTATCTTGATCTTTGACCATCACAATGTAAAATCATTAAGATTATGGAGTTAAAAATTGCAACATAAATAATTTGTTTATAACCTATGAGGGTATGAGACAGTATGAAAGGAGTACTGTAATAGAATTGCTATAAAATAAAACATGGTAAGTTAGAGGTTAGGTAGAATTACAGTTTAATTCAAGCAATGAGTAGGATATAACGAATAACACTTTGTGGAATCTAAAAAACAAAACAAAATTAAAAATTGAAGAGCAGCAACAGCTACTATAAAATTGAGTAACTGGACATTTAAGGCAGCTGTATAATAATTAGGCATGTGACAAGCCTTTATTCCATTACCTGGTAGCCAAGGAACTTTTTAAAAAGAAAAATCTTATCTGTGTTTGTGAAAAGTTGGAACTGGAGATGGCTCCTGCCTTCACACTGTCTTACATATATTCATGTTTGGCATCATTGTAATAAGCAGCTGTAGCCATTTTCCTTTTATAATTCTTATTTTAATTTCCCAGTAAGGCTTGAATGATCAGTACAATATCAGAAATTTGAATTAATGTCATGCCATTTAAAAGAGTCTTGTAGCTGATTTGCTTTCTATTGGGAATTCATTTCCCACAAAGCTTCCCCAAAGCTCTTTCCTTTAAATCAAGCTTGATTAATGACAACTTTGTGAATACCTTCAATATTTTCTTGTTAAGTACAGTGGCGGGATTCAATTTTTTTTACTACCGGTTCTGTGGGCGTGGCTTGGTGGATGTGGCAGGGGAAGGATACCACAAAATCTCCAGTGGTATTTGCTGGTTCTCTAAACTACTCAAAATTTCCACTACTGGTTCCCCAGAACTGGTCAGAACCCGATGAATACCACGTTTGATATGGAAGCAGTTTGCCACTGTCTTTTTCCAATATATTTTTTGATGTCTTACAGTCTACACAGTCTTGAGGTTTTCTAATTGTTGGCCCTTTGTGGGCGGACTGATTTTAATTAGTTTTTACAAGGTCAGCAAGGTTTGGCTTAGTACTGCTACTTGCTATGGTGGACTATAATAACCATGACCAAATAATTTAACATTATGCATTTATTAAAAACAAAAAGCTTGAATTTACTAAGTAGCTGTTTCTTTACATTTCTGTCTTCAATTCTCTAGCAAGTCTGTTTTTCTTTGACATATCCTTTCCAAGAGAGTATCTCCAAAAAGTAGTTGGCTATCTAGCAGATAAAAATAGTTTGCTCTATGTCATGGATCAGGTACATGCTGCATTAAGAGCTCAGATTTCCCAGTTGTTCTCCATAATTTATATAGTGTTGCAGCATGATGTACTTTCTAAGTTGCTGCTTTTAAATTATGCATGCTGAAAAAAAAATAGAATGAAAAGTATCTATTTAAAACCATATATGACCTCCCTCCCATCCTTAAAAAGCTTCATTGCCATTGGAATATATTCAGGAATTAAAAAATAATGCATTTCTAAAAAAAATAGCTGTCTCTTTTTTAGAACCTGTTCAAGCAATAAGGCCAATTATCTATGTCTTAATACTGCAGCACTAAATTCAGAGGTGGTATTGAGCAGGTTCTGACCAGTTCTGAAGAACTGGTAGTGGACATTTTGAGTAGTTCGGAGAACTGGCAAATACCACCTCTGACTGGAGATTTTACAGTATCCTTCCCCAGTGGTGATACTCAAAAATTTTTTACTACCAGTTCTATGGGCAGTCAGAGGTGGTATTTACCGGTTCTCCTAACTATTCAAAATTTCCACTACCAGTCCTCCAGAATCTGTCAGAACTGGCTAAATACCACCTCTGATCCTTGCCCTGCCACGCCTACCAAGCCACACTCACAGACCGGTAGTAAAAAAATTTAAATCCCACCACTGACTAAGTTGTACATTGAGAGAAGACACAGCAAAAGACAAGGCATTTTGAAAGCGTATACAGTAGGATACTTTAGCTCATAGAATATTTGTAAGATAGATTCCATGCACATTGTAGACATAATACAAAATGTCATAAAACGTTTCCTGTGATGAAGCTTGATTGTGCTGCACAGTTCAACATGAGTTATTTTCAACATGAGCCGATACATCTCTGAATGTATCCCAGTTTTTCTAGTGAAGGAAGTATATTAGAAGCTCTGTCATTATTGAAGGCATTGAGAAATCTGTTAAGGAAATACCTCTGAAAGGAAATGCACTATGGCATTTCCCTTTTCTGGTAAAGCAAGTTAATAGGAGACTATAAAACCCCCAAAGTAAGTTTTGATACAATTCTTCTACAGAAGTATTAATTCAAAGTGACCTTGTGCAGGCTCTTAAATATTCTGATGGGGTCCCAAAGATGCTTTTTCAAGAGGCAACTGGACTTTTTAGTTTTTCTTTGATGACATTTCGCTTCTCATCCGAGAAGCTTCTTTGCTTCTTGAATGAGAAGCAAAACATCTTCAAAGAAAAACCAGAAAGTCCAGTTGCCTCTTGAAAAAGCACCTTTGGGATAACCACGACTTGGATGACTGAGAAACTCCATAGACATTCTGATGGGGTATTATTTTTGTTACAGTGTTCTAAGAAAACCTTTACTAGTAGAAAACCATGTGTATATCCGTGAAGGAAGATTTAATCTCTCTTCACAAAACCCTCCCCTTTGGAATTTATCTTCTGCAAATTTATAAACACAGAAATATTTTTGTTGAAAAAAGCTGAACTCAGTTTAGAAATTATAGCACTGTTTATTTCTTGCATTCTATCAGTTTTATTGGATAAGAGGCATGAGATACACTTGTTTTATCGTAGTTAGAGGAAAAAATATTTAACAGTTGAACTGTTAACACTTCTTTTTATCTGTTTTAATTAATGTTGATCATCTTATAATAACTTTCATACAGGATCCAGTATATGGAAGAGGAAAACTTGGAGAAATTCAGGGTCTTGTGCTAGGTATGCTGGACAGCTTTAACTATGAGCAAGTAAGTAGAATGTGGGGATTTTTTTCTTATTGGTTAAAATGGCAATTGTCCAAGATTTAGAGTTTGTTCTTTTTTGTTCCTTATCAGCTTCTAAGAGCTTCAACCAAGAATACTTTAGCAAGCTAAAACCATTGTATTAACTTGTCACTTAATATTGTATTGTCTATTTGCTTTCTATAGCATACAGTTTTTTTTCTGCACAAAGTTGTCCCATCTGTTTAATGCACAAAGATTGCATAAATTTTGAGCTTCAATTCCTCCCAATATATATAGTACCTTACTTGGAAAAGTGCAGTGAAAAATTTAGTAACATAACTATGTTCAGATGAATATATTTGGTTTTTTAAGTAAAAATTAGGCCAATTCATTATTCATAATTATGTGAATTCCATCTTGATTCTTCCTGGACACCAATTAAGCAAATCAATACACATTTGGAAGTTCTATGTGGTAAATGGCTGTACCATCAAGTATGTGCCTATACTCAGTGCTGATCCTGGGTCTTGATGTGAGCAATTACCTGGGTGTTCACATTAAATAACCTCAAGGTAAACTATGGTAATATATTTTGCCAGCATCATCTTTGATGGTGAACTCTGACTTTGCCTACCATCTTCTGTTTATCAATACAGACACAATAACAAATAGCATTCATAATAAATTGCATTCATAAGTTTTAGTTTTTCATAATTCAATTCTACTTCCATTGTATCTCCCTTTTTGTAAGCTGTGTAGTTAGATTTTTAAAAGCAAAAACAAGAGTGTAGAACAACAAGGCACCATTATTTCTCCCAAACCCTAGTTATCTGTTCACGACTTATAACAAGGTTATATTTAGCTAAATATTTTGTCCTTGCCATTGAATTGGGATTTGAAAAGCTGTCCTTGAAAAGATAAAATCCATTAAACTTCAATAGGTGATTTAGTCTGTAAATATTCAGTTCCTAAATGCAGCTTCCTGAATCTTTACTAATTTTTGTATTGCTTCAAAGTGGGGTTCAGTATTCTTATACCTAAGTACAGCTTTTTATTATTTCCAAACCTGGTGATGGAAATTGATTTAAGGTAAAAAGTTTTAGAATTGTACACTGCACCACATTAACTAAATAAGATGTATATTTGCTTATGTTTACCTGCTTAAAAATAATTTATGGGTTTTATTATCAGCTGAAATATTTAATCAGTGAAGGACTGTTTTTCATTTAGTAATATTTGGCCTTGGACATGTTTATGAATTTTTTTTGAGAGAGAGGATCTTTATCTCCCTTCATGCAATGGATGGAGTTGAGTGAACCTTGCACAGATCCCCTTTAGAAATCTGTCAGTTCTCCCTCTTTTTCTTTCCAGATCATCTCTCTTTCTCTTCGTTCTTCCTCTCCAACACTCACTGGGTCTTTAGTTTTTATCCTCACTTATTAGCTTAAAGGAGTCTGGGTGCAATGCATCCTTGTTTTTGTGAACAGCTAATTTAAGATTCCTCTGAACTGTGGTTCAGCTACATCCTCTTCAATTCCTTAAGAAGGATGAAGCTATCCATTTATAGGAAAAAGGTATTCTCAGGTCTTTAAGTTACATTTTACTTTAAATAAAGTAGTACTATTTTGGAGGATGTTTGTCAGTGCCTCTGCCTCTACAAACAGAGTTGTAAATTATAGTAAGTGAAACGGATCTGTTCTGTATGTGTGTAAGTAATTATCAACTAGAGATTTCTTGCCCAATACTGTAGCAACTATATGTTTTCAGTCTTTTCTTTGTTTCTTTATATTTTTGCCTTATCATCAGTAGTAGTAGGCGTAGTACAGTAGGCGTGTAATGGCCTTCTATGAAACAGGCCTCAAATCCTGTGTGAACACAAGGATTCAAAAATACATCCCATAAACTCCCCTGAAGATGTTACCTAGCCTATTATAAATATATATGTTATAATTTCACAAATAGGTGACCCTGGGCAGCATACAATAATAGAGCTAAAACTCTATGTAAAATATATACCACCAAACACCACACACACACACACACACACACACACACACAATATATATATATATATATATATATAAGTGGGGGTGATGGTATATATTATATTTTTTATAATATATAGACAAATGTTATTATTATGCTTTATGGCATAGTCAACAAGATATTTACACTCATTCTGGCACTATCAAGTCCTTCCCAAGGACCTGAGGTAGGCAGATATTATTATTTCATGGTGTTAAAGGAACCAACTGGATCACAGTTTCTTCAGCTTCTTTTCTGAGATAGCACATTGTCTGTTGCTTTCTTTTCATTTCTGGTTTTGTATGCATTAGTTCTTAAGGGCCAATCTTGTGTGGCCAGAATTAGTCCTTCTATATCTTTCTTCAACTTTTCTTCTCTTAGCCAGTTCTAGTTATCTGACTGGTCTGCTAATTTTTTTATGTAATGGTCATGTAATATTTTGCCTTGCCATGTCTCTTTTTTAGTTTAAATTTAGTCTCTCTTTGTAGGCTAGTGTGGTCTCTCCAGTACTCAATAAGCCTTCCTGGTATACTAGCTTTAGTGGATTTTTTTCACTGTCCTTCGGATATTCTTCCACTGCCCTTTTTTTCCTTCAGCTGTCTGGTGTACTTGCAACATTTCATGTCCACTTATTTTCTTGACAAGTAGAGTCTGTCAACATTGTTGTGTGGATGAAGGGCATGATTTATTGCTATCATTTTTCTGGTTTTCTCATCTAGGGCTTTTTGTGGTTGAGTCCAGTCCACTATTCCAGATATATACCTAATGACTGGAATAACAGGCCCCGGAAGGCTGCTCAGTTGAATCTCGCCACGTGGCGGAAGCCGTGCATGAGTGTAAGCCGTGTGTGCGTGCATGGAAGCCGTGTGTGCGTACGTGCATGGAAACCATGCATGCACACATAAATGGAAACCATGCATATGCTCATGCATGGAAGTCATACGCGTGCATGTGCGCACACCAGTGGTGGGATTCAAATATTTTTACTATCGGTTCTGTGGACATGGCTTGGTGGGCATAGCAGGGGAAGGATACTGTAAAATCTCCAGTCAGAGGTGCTATTTGCCAGTTCTCCAAACTACTCAAAATTTCCGCTACCGGTTCTCCAGAACTGGTAGAACCTGCTGAATACCACCTCTGGCGCACACTCATGTTTTCGGCGAACTGGTGGTAGAATTATTTGAAACCCACCACTGTGTTTATTGTATATAGAAATCCTTCCATTCTCAACCATCCAGTCCAATCTAAAGAAGCTTCTTGGATGGGAAGAAAAACATGTTCAAAGAAAAAGTCTAGTTGCCTCTTTAAAAAGCATATCTGCTGATCTTTCTGTCTATAGTGGTTATCTGTTCCTTTACTATTTCCAGTATTTCCTTAATCTTTCGTGTTTCTAAGAGATTTTCTTAATCAGGTATTCTTTGGTCTTGTTCTTCAGCTTCTTTCCTTTCAGTGCCAAATATAGATCTCTAGCCAATGGGACTCACAGCGTGTCATCTCTGCTGGATCTGGGATGGGCAGATCTAATGTTTCCTATGTTTGGGAAAAAAATTATTCAAGTGCTATAGAAACAATTAATGAACTAAAATGGCAAAAATTAAATCAGAAAACACAAGTATTATATTGGACCATTAGAATACTTCAAAATTTAAAATTGAACTATTGGGATAACATGCTATCAAACAAGAGGCATTTGATAGTATGGAAGTTTTGTAATACAGAAGAAATAGTGAACTTGCTAGAAAGCTAGGCTAGCATATAGCCTGGTTGTGGGAGCGCCATCAGTTGAGACTTTCAAGAATATATTGGACTGCCATTTGTCAGAAATGGTGTAGGGTCTCCCGCTTGGGCAGGGGTTTGGACTAGATGACCTACAAGGTCCCTTCCAACTCTGATTATCTATCTGTTATCTGTATAATTTATATTAAGATCTGTAATTTCTGTCTTGTATTAATTAATATTCATATGGAGATACTTTTCTACGTGCACAACGTATATAATGTGACAACAACTTAAATGATTTCTATATTATTCTTTTGCCTGTTTAGACTCTTTTGGAGACAACAACAAGCTTACTTAACCGTGATCTCCACTGGTCTTTACGTAATTTGAAAGCATCTATGACTAGAGGGCTCAATCCCAAACAAGATTATTGCTGTATTTGTTTGCAACAGTACAAGAGAAGACAACAGACTGGTGACCAAATTATAGTCTTCAGGTACGTCTAGACTAGTGAATAGCTTCAACAATGAATGGGTTTGCAAGGAAGAACTTGAAGACTTCTGGAGAGCTCAGATTCACTAATTAATGAAGATAAGGAACTTTGATACTGAGCACATAGTGTTCTATTGCTATATTACTCATAATTCAATGTATGTACATGTCCACCTGGGTCTATTACTGTCCAAGCTATAGCCTTACTAATAATAATAGTTTTTTCAGTTGAAAACAAAACTATGTAATAACCAGTAGCGGAAATTATTAAATACGGGGCAGTCTATCCTTTATTCACCAGACAAGCAAAATTATAAATGGATTGAACCGCAAACACAAAACTTAGCATTACAGCTCATAGGTAATGCTAGTGTAGGGTTTTTATTATTTGGAACTGCCTAATATAATACTATAAATAATTATTTTGGTTCTTCTTCGAATTCATTTTACATAAAGTTGAATTTCAACAATGAAAGGGCAATAGTGCCTAATCATCATAAAGCACAATCTTGTGTGGCTACTATCGACTAAGAAATGCAATAAATATAAAATTTGTTTTTTAACATTTTCATACATTGCAGGTGACAAAAACCTCATCTATATCGTAGAAAAACCAAAATATGATTAGAGAGCAGGCTACTTACAGTCATATTACCATTCCTGTTTCTTGTGCAGGAAGACAATAGGGCAGAATGCTGTATCCCATTTTATTAAAATAGAAGATATAACATGCTTGACTGGGAAAGGAAAATGATGTCATTTTTTTTCAGGGAAGAGGGCAGGGAAAAGGGAAATTTAGCACAATAAGGTAGGGAATTTCTATTTCTATATAGCTTTAGTTATTATCTGAGGGTAACAAAAATTTGTTCTATATTAGGGTAAATTTGTATTTCTTGAAAAGTCTGCTTTCAAGTAGGGGCCCCATCTCAGATGCCTTCAAGACTTGACTTTTATCCATTCTGGTCAACATATTGATGATAGTTCTATGAATAATACAATCAAATCTCTGTCTAGAATTATTCTCATGGCTTAATTATCATAATAAAGGTTTTAATAGTGAAATGTGGTACTATCTGATTAGCAGGCAATAAGTGTATATACATATATGCATATATATGTGGTAGGAAGTTGTATGGACTTCTGAATAAGGAACTATAACATTACACTGTTAATGTCTAAAAACGGTTTAAACATTAAAATACTTTTTAGAAGTTTAATATTTGTTGTAAAAAAGTTCTTAGATTTGATTATACATTTTAAGATGTTAGGTATACTGTATTCAGTTTTATGTTATGTGGGCATACAATGTAATATATGTAATCTATTTTTATAACAGTTGTGGCCATTTGTACCATTCTCTTTGTCTGCTAAGTAAAGAGTGTGGCACTGAAACAACAGGACAGATGAGGTGGACTTGCTTTAAATGCAGTGCAAGTTATAAAGGAGACAAAGTATGTTTGACTTCCTTGGAGAAGAAGAAAAGAACTCCAGTATCATTTGCTCAGGTAAGACCTGAAGAAATGACCCATTCTTAAAAGGTTGATATGCTGACTGATTGATAGATTTAGTCTGCCACTTGAAACCAACTAGCTAGTTTTCAAAAGTTACAATAAAATAATTATTAATTAAAGTAGCCACAAGGAAAATGGCTAAATTATGAATTTATGGAAAATAGCATTATGGGGGTACAGTTAATCGTCCAAACATTCATGTATACTCCATGAGTATGGGGACAATCCACATTAAGATACTTTACCCTGAACCACTGAGAGGTTTCTCCCAACAGTTTCATATGGATGTTGAACAGAACGGGAAAAGAGTGAACCCTGAGACATTCCATAATGAATTCTATTCTACCTATAGAATCCCCCCTATTTTCTTCCCTGCATACTGAGACAGGACCTGTCCTGAGCCAACATAACAATGTGCATCCACAGAAGGATTTTGTGGTCAACAGCAATAATGCTCTTAATAGATTTGGAGGAAAGAATTTCATACCACTTTTCATCCAGTCCCTGCTACAGATCATCCATTAAGTTGGCCCAAGGGGTTTCTGATCCATGCCCAGACTTGTATCCATACAGGAAGGAGTTCAGAAAATCCATATCCTCCATATCCTCCATATCCTTCTAAAACCACTTCCACAATAACATTTCCTAAAAGAGACTTAGGATGAAGTTCCAGTTTTGTTGGATTTGGGTCTTGCCTACTTAAATGGACAAGACTGGGTAAATCTAGTGCTTTTTTGAGCACTTCTGGTATTTCTCCTTCTCTTCAAGGGTTAACTGCGACCCAGATTCAATTCCTGACTTTTTCATGGAAGCTTTAATTAGGCATCCAAACTGCAAGTAGCTGAGCTAAGATTGCAGAGGACTTTCTTGGGATCTATAGGTACAAAAGCCTCCCAAAGAGCACCACCAGATGTTTTGGGGTGCTTAGGTCAAATGCTACAGGAATGAAACTGTTCCTCTAGTCTAAAACAGATGTTATATCAGCCATCCAAAATGTTGTTGATGTAGTCCTTACCATGTTTGAATGCTAGCATGTTTGAGTGAGTAGTGCATACATTCCTGATTCAATGAAAACCAAAGGTCTGTTGTGGTATTCTTTAATCTGATAAAAATGGGTTTTTCTTTATGCCTTCTGTAAGCATTGGTTTTCTCCAATTCGTAACTATTTGTTTCATGTTGTTAGTCGATTTAATTATTATATTTTTAAAATTCTAAATTTAGACTTATTTAATGTATGTAACTGATCTGAATACCTACATAACATCTAGAAAGAAAATTGTACATAACAGTTACTTGCAAGTAAATATGAGAAAGAGCCCATCTTGTGAAGTAACCTTTATACAGAAGAATTGTACTTCATTACTAGTGATGCCACCAAGATTATACAGTCACATGCCGAACAATAATAGGCATGTTGTGTGAGCAGAAATGTGCTGAGCCCTGCCCAGATTTTGTGCCTACTAACATGATTTTCTATAAACAAAGATAAATCCTTTCCATGAGTGGTTGTATTTGTATAACTGCAAGTATGAAGGAAAGAAAGAATACGCTTTTGGTTGAAAGTTGGAACATAAAGCGGGATCTTAAGTGTTTCTTCTAAATGCCTTCGAAAGTTGCACTTGCATACTTTGTATCACAGTGCTGACTCCTTTGTTGATTGCAAGCTTTATAATATAATTCAGAAGCTTTTAAGTATTCTAGCTGCTAGAGCAAAGTAGAAAATGCTCACTCAGAATATATCAGTTTTCCTTATGTGAATTTGATAAATAGAGAACCAATAGAGAATGAAGGTGAATTACCTTAGTGAGGATATTATATCTATAATATATCTATTTACTATTTATTGATTTTTGATAAATTATATTTATTTTTTATTGTGCCAAAAGATATTACTAATTAACTTTTTAACAATGATTATCCCATTTTCTGGTTATATTTCCTCCACTGCAAAAGGATTTCCCTCAGCTTTTAAATTAATTATTCTTCTAAATCATTAGTTTTTCATATGTGTGCGTGAACATGCCAGTTTTGATTCCTCACAACTGCCTGGAAAAGTCCCTGCAGTTTTATTAACAAGATTTTGAAAATGTTTTGCTATTGCCAGCTTCTTAGGGCTGAAAGAAAGTGACTAGCCCAAGATCACCAAATTAGTTTTATGCTCAAAGCAAGACCTAGAACAGTTTCTAGCTGAGATTAAATTTTAATTTATTTACCCAGTCATGCTTTAATATGTCTAACTACCTTAGTTTCTTGAAAGATGATTCCTATAATAATGAAAAGTAGGTACTTATTGAAATTCCAGGGTATATATCCAGTTGAGTGTTACATAGTGGTACATATTCATTTTCATTCCATACATTATTGAGGTTGTCATGATCTTGATCCCTCCAAATCCTAGCCTCATTATGGCAAGGGGATGTTTCTGGAAGAGATAAGCAAAGACTATTGAGAACATGTGCTAACATTAAGAAACATTAATATGGGAAAGCTCAACAGTGAAAGATGAAATGAAATTAATAGAAATTTCTATCTTAGACATAATAAATTGAGATGAGGTGGGACTGGACACTTTTCAATCAGAAAGTCATATTGTTTATTACTTAAGACGTGAAATACACACAAAAAAGGAATGGTCTTCCTTTAATAGTTATGAAGAGTATAGGCCACAGTGCAATAAGTGATCAGATAAAATCAGTGAGATTTTGTGAACAATCTGAAGATCATTCCATTTTATGCTGCAATTATTGAAGCAGAAAAAGAATAGGTTAATTAATTTTCCAATCAAGTTCATTTGATATCAATAGAACAAGCAAGCAAGATGTCCTGCTTATGATTGGAGACTGTTGGAAATATTAAGGAGGAAGATATATTTGGAATGTATGGCTTAGGAAATTGAAATAATGAAGTATGAAAATAACGAAGCAATTTCTGATACTCCGATGGTTTTTTTCAGAGCTAACACTATCTACATATTAAAACAATGTCTGTATACATCAAAATCACAAGATGGAGTTAACTGAAATTAAATTGACTATATTATTGATTAAATGAAGTAGAGGAGCTCAGTGATAACATCCAAGACATGATTAACTGCTTTCTGTGGAACAGAACATGAATTGTTCTTGTTCAAGTTCCAGGCTAAGATAAAGAATATGAAGATCAACAAGTTCTCCCAACATAATTTTAAATACATACCCACTACTTTTAAAAAGAATATCAGGAATCACTTTGAAATCCTAAGCCTCATTTGCAAACAACCATAGAAACTGTGGAATGAACTTAAAAGAAGTTAAGGATGAATGTGAAAAGACACCTCCAAATAATAGAAGAAAGCAAACTGGTACAGCAGCATGAAAGCCTTGGAAAATATAGTCAAATGCAGTGATATGTCTATGCTTACAAAAATCAGTATACTGCAAGCAGTGGTATTCCCTGTGAATCTCTATGGAAGTTAGACTTTAAAGAAGCAGGATAGAAAGAGTAATGTTGCTTTTAAATATAGATATTGGAGAAGATTCCTCAGACTATCTTGAACAGCCAATAAAACAAATAACTTCATCACATAAATCAACCCAAATTTCTCATTTGAGAGGGACAAATGACAGGCTCAAATTACCTGACTTTGGACAAACCAAAAGCTGTCATTGAGAATTTTCTTGGCAACTATACAAAGCACCAAACTACATTCAACTGTTGACAAACTTTTTACAGTATACAAGATTATGAAGTGCAACATGTCACTGAAGATTTATTCACACTTCTTTCCCCAAAATCTAGGTGCAGTCAGTGACAGACATGATGAAAGGCTTCACCAAAACATTGTCACGATAGAAGAATGATATTAGGGAACTGGAATCCATAAGTGCTGGCTGACAGTTGTTGGATGCTGCAGTGAGATACATCAGACACTGAGTACAAATGAAAATCAGCAGCAAAACCCTTTTAGTTCTGTTGAACTCACGCAGTGTGTAAGAAACATGATTAAATATAGTTATTAAAATATATTTTTCAAGAATTCTACATGATACAGTCATTCTGAAATTATATTTATGTTCAGTTTAAAAGGGTCTATCATAATCACTAAAAGGTTTTCAGGAAGCAAAACCTTTTGGGGAAAAACGTCAATCAATAATTAAGCTCTTAATAGTTCATCCCAACAAAACAAGATTCTCTCACCATTTCTTTTAACAAGATGTACCTGAAAGATAATAGGGAAAAAAGTATAGAAATTGGAGCAGCTAGTTTATCTCCCAAGTTGCTAAGGCAGTCTTTTTCACTTATATACTCAAAGCTTTATACCAAAATACCAAAAGATTATAATCTGATGAGGCAACTATTCTTTTAAGTAATAATTTAGGAATATCTTACGTGTCAGCATATGAATCTGTCTTAGGTTCTGAATGTAGAATTACATACCATTACAGAAGTTAATATCTATTATGGTATACTTTAAAATCAGGATAATTAAAACCAACATTGTCATAAGAAACCTGTAACATTTACATTTTATAATTTTGTAAAAAAATAACCAATATTTTAGAAATTAATCTAAAATGTTGAGGTGAAATATGATAGGCAACCCTCTCAGAATATACTCTTGAAACATTTATTTTCATTGCATTTATTCTTCCTGTTAAAGTCATAAGTATGTTGATCTATAACTTGAAATATTTATGTCTATTAAACAAAGTATCTTCCTAGGAATAATTATCCCCAAGTAGAATCAACAATAAACCTTATTAATTTCATAGATTTCTTTTTTTGTCAATTGACATATTAGATTTACCCATTTGTGTAGCCAGAATAGTTACCATATTTCTGTACCATTGTCATAAATCTTTGTAATGATTTTTAATATTGATTTAGGAAGCATAAAGTTTTATCTGCGTATAAAAGCAAATTCTCAATTTCTGCTTCATGTATACCTCAAATATTGCCAGATGGTTATATTAGGAATGTCAGTTTCCCATACAATTAAATATTAAAGTAGATAG